AAAAGCTTCCCATAAACACACGTCAAGATCTGAGAACAGGTATCTAGCTCTTCAGATGTGCTGGGGATTACATGTACATCAGGTTTTAGTTGGATCATTTATCTTGGTTGGTACTGCTCAACCAGCTTAGCTGAGAAACAGCTTTTTCAATATTCAATTTACAGAAGCCTTCTGAAGTAGCGTGGGTAACATGTCAGATAACCATGAATTTAAGATTAGCATGAAGAGTTGTAACACACTGAACTGTATGTGGGGTGGAGGCTCTTCCCCCCCCCCCCCCCTTTTTTTTTTTTTTTTTTTTTTTTTGCAATGCCAGTATCTGTTTGCTTTGATTTTTAATATGGATGGGATATTTGGAAATCTGGGCATGTTCTCAATGTCCGTAGTGCTGTCTAATTTGACAAATTACCAATCTGTTTGCATTTTTTCTCTTCTGTTCTCCATCCAAGTGTGTCAGTTGTCTCCCAAAATTTCTACATACTTTCACATCACTCTCCTTTGTATAGCTGTAACCTTTTTTTATGCAACTGAAAAAATCTTGTGTTTCACGCTAGGGTACTATCTCTACTGGATAAAAAAAAAATGAAAAAGAAGCATGCAGTAAGTCAGTTTTCCATGTGCCTGTCTCTGAAGCTGAAAAAGTTCTTAATGTGGATTTTATGATTTTGAGGGATTTCCTGGTTCTCCAAAGCTGATTCACAAAACTTGTAGCACTGTAAATGCATATCCTTCTCCAGACATCTCCTTGAAGTTAATGATGGTAAGACGAAAGAGTGGATGTCCTGATCCCAGACTCCAAGGACAACTCAGAGGGCAGCTCCGTCTTCTGGAAAATGACAGCAGGGAGGTGATGGCAGTTTTCAGTGTAAGTCAATTGCTTGGGTGTTGATTTATTTATTGAGAGAATACACTCTGTGCTACTGAAATAATCTGTGAGATATTTGGGTCCAATTTCCATCTACATGCTGTGTGCTTGAATTTGAGTGACCAGAGATTCCCACGGCCCAATGAGACTTTAGAAATAATGAACCATTGAAAAAGACTGGAGCACCAAATTGAAGCAAAATAAATAAGCCCAACTAAATAAGGCATTGAAGGTTTTATTTTAAACATGTTCTGCTTTGACTTACATCAAAGGAAACCATGGATGTCTGGCTTTTTTTTTTTTTTTTTTTTTCTCATTTGCACTCATATTGACTCTTCAGTCTCCAGTCACTTGGAGTCATCTGGCAATGCAGGTTGCCCAGGAAGACCACTGCTAAGCAAAAGAGGAAGTCTGAAGTAGAGTAGCATAAATATTGGACTTCCTAGGGCTAGATGGCCATAGCTTTAAATAGCACACGAGAGGGTTGACATATTTTTATTACTGTCTTTAGTTTATTTGTATATAGGAAACCCACCCTCTGCAACCAGTGAGGTTTGCTACAAATACAATTTAAAGCCTCCTCTTTCCTCTTGATGAAGAAGCAGGATGATACCATTTGGCCTCTGGTGTCCCTTTCTTGTCTGAGCCACGAGTTCCAGCCTCCTTTGCTCACAAGTCAAACATTGAAATCTTAACTAGTTATGGATTTATGACCATCTCAGATACACGTCTTTCTCTATGATTTTGTGATTGATGTGTTGTGCACTCTCCATCACCAGCCTGCTGATTTTGTGGCTGTGAAAGCAGTCTGTACTCTGCTCTGGCTTTTGTTTAGGGGGAGATGGAGAAAGGGAGAAGGCATCAGGAGGAGAAGGAAAACAGTGTACAAATAGACTAGATCTGTGGCCTTATTAGAAACAGACTGGGAAAAGGACTTTGAAAGAAGCAAGATTTATAATGACAAGTTTCTTTAGAATGTTGTTTTGATATTCAGCAGTGCATAAAGCCCTTGAGGCTGAGATATTTTACATGTGTTGGCAATTTATTAATAGATCTCAGGGTCTCATTAATATTTCATCTAGTATAGAAAGGGGCACGCAGAAGATCAAAGCAGCGATGAGGCATGCCTGTTGCAGAGGCTGAATTTGGACTTCTGTTTTCAAAAAGGAATTACTATTTTAATCTCTTCATGTTGTATGAACTGAAAATATGGAAGTTAAACTGAATTAATTCAGAGATCTTTTAAAATCATGACCTAACAGTCATAAAAACAGTGGATCACCTCCATCTTGCTCAGATTACTGAAAATGTTTGAGGGACAATTTTTTTTTCCCCAGAGTTGGAATCAGTTTCTTATCAGTCCTTAAATTGTTCTAAGATGCATTTTGGGTTTGATGTGACAGGAGCTTGTCCCATAAATGCCACAGTTATTTGTATTTCCCTGAAAGACATCATTGGAGAGCCCTGTTTTTAAGCTACTAACTGATTTGTAACCAGTGTTGTATTACTGCACTTTGGCAAGAATATATCCAAATGTATATTTATTTCACTTATTTGAAGGTTTATGCAGTTCTTTTTAGCATTTCTGAAATTCCTTATAAAATCCATCACTATAATTTGCAACGATCATTGCTCATCTTTGTTAAACACACAATTTAATGCTGCCCTAGCAACATGAACCAGTACAAATGAGGAGAAAAGGAT